GAAAATGAAAAGATTGTGTTAAATGCAAACATAAATGAATAATCAATGTTTATAGAAATTAGAATGTGAAATTAAATATTAAATAAAATATTAAAGGAGGATGAATGAAAAAAAAGATAAATAAGTTTCCAACCTTTAGGAGAAGCCAAGTCATCAACCTTGTTTTCTCCTTTAATATATATATATATATATATATATTCTCCAGATTTTTACTGGCCATTGATAAATGAAATGCACAGAAGAATATATGAGTTCAAAAATATGAACTTCATCCAAGAAAAATAAACTAATAGTGAACAACATAGCAGTTAGTATCAACATACTTGGGATGCATTTGGTTTGATGGAATGGTTTTTGAGGGATTTGGATTTCATGAAAGGATTTGTAATTGGAAAGATTTGGAGTGTCTTTGGGTTGTAGGATTTGCGATTGAACTCATTTTTTTATAAGTTATTTTTATAAGAACAAATTGTTAATAATATTAAAAATAATTAATTTTTTTATTAATTGATTATTACAATACAAATGTTATTTACATATTTTAAAACATTATTACATACAAATCCTATGAAATCTCATGAAATACCAAATCCCTCCAAATCCAATCCTGGAAACCAAAAGGGACCTTAGAACATACCATGAGGACAGGATAACTTTAAAATTATGAAACTGATCTAAGAGAAACATAGAAGTAATGGAACACATATCAGCAACATAGAACATACCCCATGGAAACTCCTTGTTACGAATGTGCAAGTATGGATATGGCTGCAAACATAAATCAGAAAAAACCACGTAAGAGCCCGATAAAAGAAAACATGACAAGAAAAAGTATAGCGCTATTGCATATGAAGTAACAGCCGCAAGGCAGTCAATGACTTGAAAGTAGTACTCCCTTTGTCTCACGAAAATAACAAAACCAACATTCAACATGGTCTTCGCAAACATCACAAACATAAGTGACTATTAGTCAATTATCCAAAATATCCGACAATTATCACAATACCTTAAGTACATTATGAACTCAATCCAATAATATCAATCGTGTTACCAATACAATGAGCAAATAGATAATTTTTAACTTGAAAATTTGCTAAAACAAATATATAGCATGTGTTTAACGAATAAATGGAGTCCATTTGACAATAGTGTAACTTACACATAAGCCAACTTATCAAGGGATGAAAGGAACAAAAGTTCTTTTTCTAGTATATAACATTTATACACGACAAATATTCACATACTCCTTACCTTTGGTGAGGTTTGAGCCCTTAAACCTCCTAGGAGGATGACTCTACTGGTAACCAGGGTACCTCTGGGCCAATTACCATTTGGTAGGCATCACAAGTGTTGTAATAACAATAACATATCTTCCATTTATGATAAGACTGGTAGGCATGAAGAGTGCTAGAAGAACTGTTGTAACAAAATTTCATCTTACAGGTGGTTCATCGAAATGAGGATGGCCCTTGGATAGGTTAACAAATGCAAGAATAGAACAAGCAGCAATGCCTACATAAGTAATCTTCTCCCACTTTGCTGCCTCACCTGTGTTTACGCAATCAAATTATAATCACAATCAACAAGTCATGTCCAGATTCCATCATCAAATACTTCACAGACTAATGCAAGTGCATAGTCGGAACAAACACAGACACAGGATTCACGTCCATCATCAAATACTTCAAAACATTTTTGAAATTAAAAGACATGATTGAGATATCGTAATCACTGAAACCCTAAAATCAAACGGATATAAATCCTTCCTATAGTAACATTACGCGATCAAACAGAACAACCAGATTTCACGAAAGAAAATCAAATTTTCAAACATGTTAGGCTGTAAAAATACATTTAAACATCATCAAAACTGCTGTTGGTAAAAGCAGAGAGAGGAGAATCGTACGAGCTTCTTCATCAGCCGATGCGCCGGAAGAAAATGACCTCTTAGAAGCAGGATTTGGGCGCGCAACACCACGAAGAGCCGCCCGGAGACTCGATCTTACAATCGCCGACGCCATTTTTGCCTTCTCCTGTAGACGAACAAATTTTCCTTAAGCCGAATATACAAAAACACGTCCAAACCCAAATCAAATGAATGGAAAATTCTCGAAATTATTTTTAAAGCATAAATATTACATTACAAAATATTTAATAAAATTTTGAGTAAACTACGAATTTGGTCCCTATGATATGCTGGTTTTTACGAAAGGGATCCTCAAACTTCATTTATTACACATAACACCTTGTAGTATGCACTTTTTGTTGGATTTGGTCCCTGGACCAAACAGCCGTTTGTTATTTCTGTTAAGAAAATGGTCATTTATTATTGTTATTTATAATAATATTAAAAGTTTTGTCTTTTAATCTATACTATCTTATTAAGCAAATTTAGCAAAAGTCTTAAATTCTTAAAATACTAAATGACCAAGATACCCTTTAGTCATTTTTTCACCCCCTCCTCTCCTCACATACACTCATCCTCTCACAACTGATTTTTTTTTAAATTATAATTTTAAAGTTACATTTTATACCCCTATAATTAGTTAATTAATTTATTTTACGTCATTTACTTTTAAATATTTCATTTTAAACTTTTATCAAATTAACATACATAATCGTATATCAATTAAAACATGTTTAAAAAATACATTTTTATTTTAACAAGTTACACCATTATAATCGTCTCGTTAATACCTTCGAAATGAGTTCAATATTGAATAGTTTTTGACTTAATTATATTATTATATATTATATATACTGTGAAAAAATATTTTTAATATTTACGATTTATATTTTTATAGTTATTTATTTATATATATATTATATATTTTGGGGTTAAGCTGTCCAAATTGCACTGTATAATATGTTTTTGGATTTTTTTGAAATATATATATATATATATATATATATACACATGTATTAATTCAACCTTAATCTGAGTTTCTGGACAAGAAAGATGGTAAGCAGTTGAAATTTCATTTCTAAAATCCATCTTTTTTTGTCTTTTCATGGTTTATGATCTGTCAAATTTGTAGTTTTCTTTATTGGTTTTGAGTGTTTATCTTAAAACTCAAGTTTCTTGGTTCTTTGCTCTTGGTGTAAATCGAACACATTTATGGAGTTGTTTAAATATGTTGGATTTTAAATATATTGGATTTTAAAYTGTCATRCAATTTTTTTCATCGATAGWCTGTAATTGGAACCATAACTCTTATTTATTCAAATTGTATTAATATGTAAAGACCAAGTGTAAATTATATCATCATTAAATCTTATCTTATAAAACCAGTGGAACTTCAAAATCGTTAAAATTCATGGCTCCCGCCGCATTGTGCGGGTACACAACTAGTCCTTTTTAGTAATCAATCATTTCATCACACATGGCATAACAAAAAAAAACTTGATCCTTTCCTCTCCTTCTAGCTATTACCTCACTAACTAGCTAATCAGATGCAGACCCCCTATCGGGGATTATGAAACTAGAAATATAAGGAATAAAAACAAAACTCTCCCCCATTTCTTTCCGACAGCTTCGTCGGTCCGGTGAACCCCCTCCCTTTGTGAACCTTCTCCCTTTCCATCAGCTTGATCTGTTGATGTTAGGGACGATGATCCCATAGACCGACCCATAAAAAGGCATACAATGGCACGTGTCATCGTATTATTTTTCTGCTAAAAGGTTAAAAATTTTAAGTTTATGAAAGGTGTAACGTATTGTTTTAGAAGGTACCACCGTATGATATTCAAAAGTTCAAGAAGGTGCAACCCTACCTCGTAGTGAACCAAAAAACTAGTAAAAAAAACTCTTAAAATCATCCAAAAAACCGAAAAAGTCCTCAAAATCGATAAACAAAAAAAACTAAAAAATTCCTCGAAATCAAGCAAAAAAAACTGTAAAAATACCTCGAAACAATGGAATTAGGCTAAAGACACATCGAACAATATTGAACCTTAGTAAAAACATGAAGACAAGTCGAGAAAAACAATATTTTTTGTAATTATTTTTTGTCTATATTATATAGTGCCAACACATAAAAAAAATCTTGGGTCCGTCCCTAGATGATCCTCCCCTCAACCCTCCTCGTTCTTTGCTATCCCGAAGATCCCCATCCACCCACTGCTCCGATCGATGATCCCATCCCTTTCCCCTCCCCATTACTCTGATGTGTGTTTATATATGTGTGGTGTGTGGCTGTGAGTATATATGTGTGTATTGTGGGTAGCGTGGTCTTAGGGACGATGGTGGAGGTTTCAAAGGGAAGGGGTGGCTTTGCAGGTGTCGGAGCAGAAGGGGAAGGGGATGAGAGTGACATAGGGGGAGGACGAGGAAGATGGTGGTGTTAAGAAAAGGGGAAGAAGTTCACCGGTGTTGGTGTGAAAGATTATGAGAAAAGGGTTTTCACGGAAAATGGGTTTCCGCCAGACATAGGTGAATGGTTTGAGGGAAGGACGAAAGTAGGAGACAAAGATGAGTTTTGTTTCTATCTGGCCCTCCAAGTTTATATATATATATATATATAATTTTTTTTCCCGTCCCTAATTCTAAGATTGTTAACTAAAATAATGTTTAAAAAGTGAAAAAATAAATCCCTTTTGCCCTCAACTTTAATAGATTTGATAGATGGTGATTAGGCCAAAGGACCAAACCCAACTAAAAGTGCATACCACAAGGCTTTATATGTAATAAATGAAGTCCGAGGGCCAATTCCATAAAAATCAGCATACCACAAAGACCAAATCTATGACGATTTGTTACGAATTTGGTCCTTTGTCTTCATTTATTACATGATAAATCTCTATGTATGCTATTTGTCTTAACTTTGGTCCCTTGTGCAAACGGCCGTCAATTTATATCCATTAAGTTAGGATAAAACAATCCTTTTGGCATTTTTATTTATCTTCTTTTTTTCTTTTCTTTAAAAAATAATGCCACTTGACCCGGTCCACTCCCTTTTACGTCTTCTATGTCATAAAGAGCATATTAATCCAAAAGACTAAGGCGAAGTTTACAAGACGCTTGCTCTATTAAATGCTTATCAAGTCACTTTATTTTATCGGATAAATATAACAAGGACTAAAAATGTTATCCGGTAAGAACGAAGACAAGAATCTCAAATCTTACCCAGTAAGTGAAGATGAGGACTCTTACCATGAGTAGCGTTTACTGGGATAAATTGTTGCATATGATGCATTTTAGTGAATAAAATATTGTCTGGTAAATAAGCGATAGTGTTAAATTTTATCGGTAAGTACTTACTGGGTAAGTGTTTAGGTAAATGGCCCCTAAATCTAAAAACCCAAAAAGCAAAACCTAGATTTATAAACATAAATATACTCATGAACATTTATTATACACAACAATTTTACATAAATTCATTAAAAAAAAATTGTGATACAACCACTAAAATCATAACTCCAAAACCTAATTCAAACCCTAAATCATAAGCCAAAATAAAAATAGATGTCAAAGAAGATCGTAAACCAAAAAACTCACTTTGTTCTTCTTAGTTATTATACCTGCATAAAGAACAGAGACGAAAGGAGGAGCAACTGTCATTACAACTTACAAATCCATTGACGAAGATCATTGGGACTTACTTCGGTTCTTTGTGACCTGCAAAAAAAAAGATACCAAGATGGACGGGAAGGGGGGTTGTTTATCAAAGTGGAACAAAGGGATGGGCGGGTTTAGATGGAGATACAATAAGTGGTGGCGCCTTACTAATTTTTGGCTATTCGGAGTATGAAATTCATGTGGTGTATATTCATTAATGAAATTTATATAATGTATGTCCGTCAAATTGTAAATTGATATTGCATATGTGTGCAAGTATGTTGATATGAGTATCCAACATCCAATATCTTGTTTTAGAGACCATCTACAGATTGGTTGTGTTACAGTAAGATGTTACATTTTGCCTACTTTTCTTGCCAACAAATTAAAGAAAAAGCTTATAGAACAACAATTACAAAAAGAAACAGTAATTAGAAGAATATTTGCTCTTTGTATCAACAAAACAATATAAGATGCATTCCTTTGGCGACAATGACATATTAGCGCAAGGAGAGCCATCTAAAAAGTGTATTGATTCCATGTCCATGATGACAGTTTTGATACTCAAATATCGTTTGTAGTTTCAGATGGCACATATACCCCATTCTAAGAAGTGTACTGATATAAGGTGGAGTAATGAACCAAAACTGTTTGTCGACCAACATATCATCACACATTGATAACTGCAACCATAATTCTCAACTTTAAACAAGTTTTTGAAAATTACGGTCTTTTTTCTAGATCAGTAAACCAACAACTTCTTAAGGGCTCCCCTCCAGGATCTCACCATGTCGGGATCTTAGAAGTATTGCATAAGTTTGCAAATATTTGGATTTATGCATTAAAATGTTTTATGCATGTGAAAACCTGTAAGCTCACCAACTCTTTGTTGTTGACTCGTTTTATGTTCCATGCTTTTCAGGAGGTAAGTAAGATTTGTTTCACCTGGGAGCATACTCGGGGCAAAGCTGATTTAGTTCCAATCGGAAGTTTTGCAAATGAAGAGTTTTTAAAGTTTTGGTTGTAATATTAAACTCGTTTTATTATGTAAAACTTAAAGTTGTTATCTATTAATTGTTGCTGTGACACGCTTGCCTGTTGCATCTTGCGTTTCCGCTTTAGCGGGGTGTGACATACTTGGTCGGATAAAACCTTTATCCAACAATTCATTCAATTAAGACATTAACTCCTTTAAGTAGCGTAGATGAAGAAGAAGAAGCACAATTGTAGATCACAAATACTTTTTTTCGTATTCACAAATGATAAATTATAAACAAGTAACATCATTATTATTTAATTCTATAAGTATTGCTTATAAATTTTATAAACGAATTTATCAAGAAATCTAAACATTTATCAACATTATCACTTCATTTTATTTTATTGAAATAAAAATAATATTTTCGGTTTTGTTTCCCAATTTCTGGAGAAATCAAAAGCGGATTCATATACTTTCGATAGAACACGACACGTGGTGTATGGTCAATTAAATATGGATTATAGATAAGATTAAGCATCTATAAAATATTTTCTATTTTTCTTAAAGTAAAAAGTTAAAATCAACATATTTTTATTTTTAGAGATCTCATCACTAATTTAAAAGACTGTATATAAAATAATATTAATTCAATTCAATTGGTGGATTGAACTAAAAAAACTCATCTCTCTCTTTAAAAAAGAGTTTTAGTGAAATCTATATATTTAGAGTTTTCTATTTCATAGAACAAGATATGAAATCTGTTGGAGCATTATAAAGAACAAGAACTTTATTTTCTCTATTTTAGAGAATCTGTTTGAGATACTCTAAAAGGTGAGATGGTGTTATATGCATCATTTTAATGTTAAAATCATGTCGAATTATATATTAAAAATATAAAATGTAAGTTTTGATGTTGATGTATGTGAGAAAGAAATTACTACATTTAGCCTACCACAACAAAACACAAGTTACTTTATCATTTGTTAAGAAGATGGTAATTTTATTAAAAAAAACTCTTACTAATCTAACATTTTTTCCGGTTAAATATGTAGTTTCTGTAGAATAAAAGAACAACATATTCATCTTTTTCATTTATACTACAAAATATGATTGTCTCTTGTGTGAGGAATCGTGAACAACTCGTTAACATGATGTGATCCAAAACAGAAGACCTTCAAGGGAAGAAGTTGGTATGCAGATGCAATAAAAAGACCCTCCTTCCTTTTCAAAAACTTCTCTTTCAAGACTCATGCTGCAGCTATCAACGTGAAATGATATATTGGTTGACAACTAGCTTCGGATCACCAAATGCACATTATACCACCACTCTAGAGACTGGTGCATAAGCCCCATCCGAAATTACAAACGATATTTTAATATCCAAATTCTCACAAAAACTACAAGTTTGATAGATTATTATTTGTACTTTATGCTGAAAACATTTTTAGTGGGCGTATAAGTAGATAAAGTAGTTAAGGGGCCATGGTATACCTAATAAATGTTGATTCGATCATTTACCTTACCTCATGAACATAACATCGACCAAGGATCTTCTTTAGTAAGAGCAATGGAAAGGACACAAGAGACGCCAACACATACCAGACATTGTTACCTATGATGTGGTTTCAATGGATTAGAATCTTACCCGTAAGCATTTGGCTAAACAGTAAATAAGCATTTAGTAAATGGCAATGATACTACGATAATAAAGTTGGTATCGTGAATGTAAGCAAGTAGTAATTCAGCAAGAGAGAAACCAAGCATTGCTAAAACTAGGGTTTTTGAGGTTGGAAAACGTTAGGGATTACATAGAACAGCAACAACATCAAGAAAATTCATTAGGAGCAGTCATTTCATGATATAACATTCAATCAAATCTAAAAAGATAATCCTGAAACAAAGGATATAAGGGATCAGTATTCCTCTTCCTCATCGTCTTCACCCTCGCCCGACTCAAGCCCAACCTCTTCATAATCCTTCTCCAATGCAGCCAAATCCTCACGAGCTTCAGAGAATTCACCTTCCTCCATCCCCTCACCCACATACCAGTGGACAAACGCCCTCTTTGCATACATAAGATCAAACTTATGGTCGATCCTTGAGAACACCTCTGCAACACTTGTCGAGTTAGATATCATGCACACCGCCCTCTGCACCTTTGCAAGATCCCCACCAGGAACCACAGTTGGCGACTGGTAATTGATACCACATTTGAAACCCGTTGGACACCAGTCAACAAACTGAATGGTGCGTTTTGTCTTGATGGTTCCTACAGCTGCATTCACATCCTTTGGTGCAACATCACCCCTGTACATGAGGCAGCAAGCCATGTACTTACCATGGCGAGGATCACACTTGGCCATCATAGACGATGGCTCAAATGCAGTGTTGGTGATCTCTGCAACTGACAGTTGCTCATGGTATGCTTTCTCAGCAGAGATAACAGGTGCATAAGATGAAAGCATGAAGTGGATCCTTGGGTAAGGTACAAGATTTGTCTGAAACTCGGTAACATCCACATTCAAAGCTCCATCAAACCTTAAAGAGGTGGTCAACGAAGAAATGACCTGTATATATGTTAAATTACTTCCATCAGACACCAAAGAAATTAAATGGCACTTTTAGGTTACATTTACCTACTGCTGAACCACTTATTCAGTCAGCATCAGCTGGGTTTACCTAAAGACTGATAGGCATCATTATTATTTCACTTCCTGGGTCAGCACAGGATAATAAGGGTATTTTGTTTTTTGTTGGTAAATGACATCTTAGTAAAGTTGTACCTGAGAAACCAAACGGTTAAGATTGGTGTAAGTTGGGCGTTCAATATCAAGAGAGCGCCTACAGATATCATAGATGGCCTCATTGTCGAGCAGCACAGAGACATCGGTATGTTCCAAGAGAGAGTGGGTGGATAGCACACTGTTGTACGGCTCCACGACAGAGGTTGAAACCTGGGGTGAAGGATACACGGTAAATCCCAGCTTGGACTTTTTCCCATAGTCCACAGACAAACGCTCCAGCAGAAGAGAGCCAAGACCAGAACCGGTTCCTCCACCGACAGCATTGAACACTAAGAAACCCTGGAGACCAGTGCAGTTGTCAGCAAGTTTTCGGATGCGATCCAGGCACAAGTCGACAATCTCTTTTCCAACTGCAACATGAGAAATTTAATCAGCAACATATTGATGCTTAATAAACAAAAAGACCTAAAAATGGGGCAGGGCATTTACTGGTATAGTGGCCACGTGCAAAGTTGTTAGCGGCATCTTCTTTCCCGCTGATGAGCTGCTCAGGGTGAAATAGTTGGCGGTATGTTCCGGTCCTCACCTCATCAATGACAGTGGGCTCAAGATCTACAAAAATAGCACGGGGAACATGTTTCCCAGCACCTGTTTCGCTGAAGAAAGTGTTGAAGGCGTCATCACCTCCCCCAACAGTCTTGTCACTTGGCATCTGGCCATCAGGCTGTCAAACCCATAAAAATGTTAAAAGAGTTAAATCAAACATATCCAACAAAAACATCTATTCTGTATATGTACTATACAGGAGACATCTTACTCGCATAGGCCAACCATTTCAATAAAAAGAGCCCTCCTCCATGAGGAGTTAGACACGAGTTAAGAACGAGTTTGACTTCTAATTTAACAAATAGACCAACCTTCACAGTTATCAATACCACATCTACTAAACACCATCACACCATGAAGCAATACACTCGTGTCTCGTGAGAGACTCAGATCTCAGAACATTTCGCAGATATCATAGTCAAATTAGTACCAGGTAAAACAGAGTAAAAAGATATGACGCATATACACAGGAGAAGATCAATAGGGCTATACTCGAGTAATATACACAGACTCAGATCTCACAACCCCTTACAAGTATCATACTCGAATTAGTACAACGTGGAAAATACTTAAAAGATATGATGCATTTACGTAGAAGAATATCAGAAGGCAGGTATAATGAATAATACCATAAGCGTGGTTTGTAAATGGCATTCACATCAAGTACATAAATCGATTCAAACTCATCATGCGATAAAAGCAACATATCATCAAGAAAAAACATACATCGATTTCAAGAAATCAGACGCAAATGAGGCCGTGAAAATGGGTATAAATACGCATCAAGAACCGTAGATCTAGATATCCAACATACGGTTAGATCTGAAATATTTGGCATCACAGTATCCTTCCATGTGCATTGTCATTTTACAAAACATTTTAAACCATTCATTTGGCTACATTATCGACAAAAACCACGAATTCAACACAGATCTGAAGAGTGTCGAGTAAATCTGGTACAGACAAACCCAAAACAATAACAAAACCAAGGCAAGAAGAAAATCTACTCCAATCAAGCGCCATATAATATAAACCGTTCAAATAACACATCAAAACCCTAGATCTGACTAGAAAACAAGATATACCTGAATGCCGTGTTCCAAACAGTAGAGTTCCCAACAGGCATTGCCAACCTGAATACCGGCCTGACCGATGTGAACTGAAATGCACTCTCTCATCTTCGTTTCCTTTCCAAAAAACTGGAAAACGAGCAGAGTAAGATCGGAGATCTAGGGATTCAGTGGAAGAAGATATTCGAAGAGCGTTTATTAAGACGCCTCAAACGGATTTGAAATTTGGCATGCCGGTTTCGGGGATCAAGGGTTTAAATAGGAGTAAATTACGTTTTTAGTCCCTATAATTTGTTAAAATTACGATTTTCATTCTTGTGATTTAGAAATTATGATTTTGTTCCTTATACTGTAATACATTATTGTTTTTGTCTCTAAGACTAACTCTTAACTTGAAGTACAAGGGATGAAAAAGTGAAGAATTATAAACTATAAGGATTAAAATAGCAATAATTATAAATTATAAAAACAAAAATAACAATTTTCATACCATAATGATAAAAATCGCAATTTTCAAATTATAGGGACTAATATTACAATTTGTAACAAACCACATGGACAAAAATTGCAATTTACTCTTTAAATAGAGATATCAGAGAACGTGAGTCTCCTACGTCGGTTGCCACAAGTATACGATTTCGCCTGCACCAAAATTAAAAATGAAATGTTACAAATACTACCCCTCAAGTTTTACCAAGTTTCCTTATTTTGCTATTTGATTAAATTTTTTAACTTCGAAGGCATCTAGGTCATAATTATCGGGTATGTCAAATGTGCACAAAAACCTAACGAATTAACTCAACTTGAAGCAACTAATGTCTAATCAAGTCACCAAATCTTCAAATCGCATGTATTTGACTTGGTTGGAATTGAGTTAGGAGTTGTTTGTTTATTTTTTAATAGTTTCATTAAGATGTAGCATCTGAATCTTTAAGAGATGAATCTTGTTTGACAAAAAAAAAAATTTGTCTCTTAATAGTTCTAAAACTCTTTGAATGATTTTGTATCTTGGGTCTCCCTTAACCATTTAACGCTATAATTTCATTGTAAACAATTAACAAAAAAATATATTTCATTTTGCACTATATCATAAGCGCATCTTAATTATTTTGATTACTTAATCATTTTTCACCAAACCATTCAGCAACTGTTAAACAACCCCTTAGAGTCATTTGAACCCAAATTGATGAATGGGATACCCTCATGTTCATTGGATTTAATATGATTGTTAAATTTTCTTATGAGTATATACATTAGACCATTACACCTTGACCCTCTTTATATATGCAAATTTTAAATGCTTTTTCGAACTCTATATAATTCATTCATATATGTATTCAGTAAATGTGATCATATACACAAAATTGCAAATTAAAAAAATTAGTTGAATGTGATCTATTTAAGAAGTATAGCTAAGGGGTTGTTTGTTTACCTCTTAATAGTTTCATTAAGAGGCAACCTCTGAAATGTTAAGATGTGAATCTTGTTTGACAAAATAAAAGTCTTTCTCTTAATGGTTCTAAAACCCTCTGAATGATTTTGTATAATGTATCTCCCTTAACCATTAAGAGCCATAATTTCATTGTACACAAATACACAATTACCAAACAATTATATTTCATTTTGCACTATATCATGAGAGTCTAATAATCATTTTGACCACTTAATCATTTTGCACCAAACCATTCAGCAATTGTCAAACAACCCCTAAGTTGTACCAATTACTTTATGATAAATACACCAAATCTAGATAACAAACATACATGAATATTTTGATGTACCATATTTTCAACTTGACTAACCCAACCCAAATTCTACTGTTTGAGTTGGGTTGAGATTCTGCAAACTACAAACATTAGGTTTGGTTGTACAAATATTTTTAACTGATCAACTTAACTCATGTTCACCCCTAGAAAATGTGGTTGGTTTAAAATATATTTGGCAACTAACTGATAAACAAACTAATGGGTCGTTTATCAAATGTTGGCCTAGTTTGTGCTTATCGGGTCACTACTGTAACGCCCCCAGAACCCCGTAGCAAGATATTGTCCGCTTTGACTAACCCGCACCTAACCAGTCACGGTAGTCGCACGGTTTTCTTCTGGCGTGGGCATGAACCGAAGTTCGTATCCCACCCAAAACCGGTCTTGCTAAGTGAGGTATCCACACCCTTATAAGGAGTGCTTCATTCTCCTCACCAACCGATGTGGGACGGGTTGTTACAACTACCTTATCGAACAAACATGACAAATATTGAGAATCTTATTCAGTAAAAGCGATGGCAAGGACTCAATATCTTGCATGGTAAATGAGGGTGGTGACTAGTAACAACCTCGAATTTGGAAAGAGCGACTCATTTAAAAAAATCATAATGATATGTTCTAATAATCAATACTAGAGTTACCTCAAAATATCAATTGTAAAATCAACATCAATAAAGGATATATTAAGTCTTATACAAAGACTAAGGGGCCGTTTACCAAACGCTTACCCGAGTAAGCACATACCAAGTCACATTACCTTATCGAATGAATATAATAAGGACCAAGAATCTTACCTGGTAAGAGCGAAACAAGGACCAACAGTCTATTACCCTGTAAGTGAGTGAGACGACTCTTACCATGGTAAGCGCTTATCGGGTAAATTGTTGCATACGATATCGTTTTGATAGACTAAAATGTTACCCGGTAAGTAATTGAAAGTGTTAAATTTTACTGGTAAGTGCTTACTGGGTAAGTGTTTGGTAAACGGCCCCTAAGTTAAAGTCGGGTGTACTGTAACCCAAAAACTGTCGCTATCTTCAAATACAGGAGACATCAATGAAAGCTAGAACCTTCTCGTGCAACTATCTAGCACTCATCTCATCATGGTGTCACTAGTACCATTTCCCCAAGGACCCGATGCACATACCGATAAAAAAAAGATTAGGCTTAACACCTAGTGAGTTTAAACAGTTTTCATCCATTATATAAAGCGGTAAAATGGAAATGGTATTATTTAAATCACAATTTCATACATGAAATGTGTTGATCCTCTCTCAGTGATTTGATGATAATCCCTTTTCACTTATACGTTCTATTTATATTTCTGTATTTTCAGTTCCAACGATCTTCACTGAGTATGTTCAGTGATCGCTGAAGAACTTACATTGTAAATCTATCAGAGACAACAATACTTCAAGAAGACAACACTCACACCAAA